CCTAAATTATAAACCAACTTTCTTTAAACGCTATGTGGATGATTGCTTAATGTGTTTACCCAAAGATAAAATTCAATATACCCTAGATAAATTCAACAATTTTCACGACACTGTAAAATTTACAATGGAGGATAAAAATCAATCAATACATTGTTTAGACATAACAGTAAATTATGATAATTCAGGTGAAATAAAAACAAATTGGTATACAAAAGAAGTTTGGTCAGGAAAATAACTAAACTATAATTAATATGCACCCCAAAAATATAAAAAAGCGTAATAACTGCACTTACGGATAGAGCTATAAAATTATCACATCCAAATAAGACAAGAAAATTTTTAAAAAATCAGCAAAATATTACTTAATAATAACTACCTAAAAAAATTTCCTGAGCCAATAATAAAGCGAAGAATCAACAAAATTTACAACTCAACTAAACATAACTATAATGAGGAACAAAGAAACAATGCATATACAGGGTGTTCCGTAAATATGTTGAAATATTTTAACAGCGTGTTCTCCTGGTCATTTTAGGGGGGTCTTCCCGAGAATTTTTTTAATTTGAGGTTTTGTTGTTGAGAAATTTAATTTCCAAAATGGCGGAAAATATTAGTTTTTGCTGTTTTCCTTTAAAACGGTTAAACATAGAAACTTCAATTTTGGTATACATCATAAGCTAATTGAGTGCCATTTTATGATAGTGTTTCGTGGTTTAGTTTGCTTTTATACAGGGTAGAAATGGAACCCCTACTTTTGTTTTGTTCAGAACTTTTTTTTGTGCACTTGAACTTTTCTCGACATAATCTTTTTAATTACTACAAGTTATTTGCCAACTTTTTTATCTCTTATTGTTTTTTCCTAGGACCACCAGTTTGTCCGCAAAAAAATAAAATCGTTTTATTTGCCGGTCTCAAAATGTGTAAGTAATTAAGTTATTTTTTTAAAATCTAGTAACGTTTTCATATAATAATTTTGGTACGCATTATTAGTTGATTACTAACAACCTAAATTATTTTTTTAAACTGTGTATTGTGGTTCAGATTACAATTATTAAGTTTGAATAAATTGTACTTAAATAACAATATGCGCAACGATTTAAACAAACAAAATTAAATTTAAATAACCACTCTAATGTTAACTTAGCAGCTGTTAAAATTCTTGGTTCTTCTGTAGGAAGAATGGAAAATTGGTCACTTTGACATTCTTGGCATAATCGCAGTATTTTAATGAAATTTAAATTTACAGACCGTAAAGTTTGCACTGMAATTCTTATTTCGTTAGAAATATTAAATATTATTTCCTGAAGTTCTTCGATTGTATTCACTTCTGTTGAATATACCGTATTTTTTAAATGGCCCCAGACGTAAAAATCAAGTGCGTTTAGATCAGGATATTTAGGAGGCGAGTTTATAGGAGCTTCTTGACCTTTTCCAATTCAATGGCTTGGAAAGTTTTGATCAAGCCGAAACGATTAATTTTTTTGCGGGTAAACTAGTGGTTTTAGGAAAAAACAATAAGAGATAAAAAAGTTGATAAATAACTTGTAGTAATTTAAAAAAATATTTTGATAAAAGTTTAGGTGCACACAAAAAAGTTCTGAACAAAACAAAAGTAAGGGTTTCGCATTTCTATCCTGTTTAATAGTAAACTAAACTACACAACACTACCATAGAATGGTACTCAATTAGCTTATAATGTATACCAAAATTGAAGATTATATGTTTAAACGTTTTAAAGAAAAACAAAAACTAATATTTTTCGCCATTTTGGAGATCAAATATCTCAAAACTAAGACATCAAATTAAAAAAATTCTCAAGAAAACCCCGCTCTAAAATGACTAGGAGAACACGCTGTTAAAATATTTTAACATATTTACGTGATATACACCCTGTATATCACTACCATATATTCCAGAAATCAATCAAAAAAATTCAAAAATTCCAAAACCACACAACATTATAATTGCGAAAAAAGCAAAAAACAACTTATCAACTGAATGTTCCCCAAAACCGACGGAATGGATGTACCAACTACTGTATATAGAGTGAATTGTTTAGAATGTGATAATACATGTATAGGACAAACTAAACAATATTTAAAAAAGAGAATGTACGAACATAAATACAGTCTGAGAAATACTAGTGAAAAAAAACAGCATTAAGACAACCTGTACACCAAATGTTACATATATTCGATCTTAACAACGCAGATATACTAGTTAGGGAAACAAATTATCACAAAAGAAGAATCCAAGGAATGATACAAATAACAAAACATGCAAAAGCAGTAAATTTCAGATCAGATACCGACCACCTTAGCAACATTTATCAAACCTTAATAAAGCTATAAGTATGGAACACCCGGTACACCAGTGAAAAACTAAAACTAATTTCGCTTATCTCAATACATACATTCCATTCTCGCAAATGTAGAAAATAATTCAAACAACAAAAATTCAAAAAACGATTTATTGGAAAATGTCTGCGATGGTGCGCTAGTTTTGTTCATCACTCCACCAACTATTTTGTAATTAGAATCGTGAAAGTAACTCTATCCTTGTATATGTACTTTAGACACAATATTTTTCCTGCCTATGTTTAAACATAATATGCTGTACCATCTTTTTATTCCAGTCTTCATTGTGAAAGAGTTGTTTAGCCCTAAGCAAAAACTATCCACCAATAAGCTAGTTGAGTACACCCAGTAGAACATGATTGATGAAACTATCTATGTTGATCCATGTATGATATGGCTTGCGGAATACTCTCATGCGCTGCTGTATTGCTGCTCGAAGGTGTGTACCAAACCAAGGTCTCCCACTGCTGTTCGCAATTCTGGCTGTGCTACTAGTAAGTAGTCATTTATTTCTTTAATTAAAACATTTTTATTAAACAAATATTCTTGCTTGTCTGTCCTTTTTAGAATCAACGACTTCTTCTGATACAGCATCGATTATTGAACCATTTCCTACTTCTTTAGATTATGCTAAATCTTTTCAGCACTTGATCCGAGATGCGGATGGTGTTGCCCTATTTTGGCAGGTCAGATAGTTTACTTCTTATTTTATTTATTATATTATATTGGTGCGACTAATAACAATACATTTCTTGGCTTATTAATTAAATCCTGTGAATTTCCTTAATTTAAACCATTTTTGGAAATAACTGCGTGCCAAGTGAATCAAGTGAAAATTTGAAAATCGATGTAATAAAAGCTGTTTTAGTTTCGATTTATTGACACTGGTTTTATCATTTTTCGAAAAGAAAAGTTTGTGCACTTGTTCGTTCAACCTAAATAGAAATTATAATATTTTTCACATTTTCAGTATCTGAAAAATGAGCACATTGAGCATGCGAATATTTTACAATTTTGGTTTGCTTGCGAAGGATTACGGAAACAGCAGGAGGACGCTAAAATCATGCGGCTTGCTGGATTGATTCATAGGTAAGTGGTTGTGGACGTGTTTGAAGTACTATATACGCATGATATTACTTTATTGTGCGATGTTCTAGTCGATATTCTTAGATATTTCTGTAGATAAAGATTTTAAAATGTTAAAATGTACGTACACTTATACGTTAATGCGTACACTTATATGGAGGTTTTTTAATTGATTTTAGGTTCATAATTCTTGTTTCCGTTCTTGCACATTTTCAAATACTTTTGGTTACTATGATAATTTTATATAAGATGCTTGCGTTTTCTATTTTCTTACGCGTGTGTGCCTCAGTTTCTTATAAAAAAGGGTTTGGAAACATTCATTTACAAATGCATTTGAGATTTGCGTGTTTTGGTCAAACATGTGATTAACTTTGTAATAATCTTTTTCAGGAAATTTTTTTTAAAATATACTAGTCTTATACCTGACGATGTCAAACAAAAAGTAGACGATCTTGTGATGTCCTCCAAGTGCCCTTATCCTCCACTTACGCTTTTTGAAAGTGTGCAAGCTGCAATAGGACACTTTCTTGCCACAACTAGCTACCTCAATTTTATTAAAAGTGATAAGTACCTGCAATACGTGGTGAATACTTTGATGGTTTCATTCATTATAATGTACCTAAAAACATCAAATTTCATTTTAGAATGCGAAAAATTCAACAAATAACGATAGGCAGATTGCTCCCAACAATGCCATTTCGTCTCTAGCCAGCAGTCAACTCATGCCGACTTTTCAAGACGATATTCAGTAAGACAGAAAAACAGTGCCTCTGTCGCATCCTTCAGGTAAGCTACAAGAAATTCTAGAAAGTTCAGCCACATACACCGTTATACATTGTTTTAGGGAGCTTAACTACTGGATACCAGACTCCTAACATTGCAGCGCCTCCACTCCGGTTAACCAAAGTCATCCGGTCAATATCGTAGAAAAGACGTGATGTTAGCCCATTTCTGCATATTTCTTTTGCCTTTTATGAAACAATTTATGAGGGACAGAACAGAAACTCAGGACTTAGGAAAAAATATTTACAAAATTATTTTGCAGTTCATTTCATATTTATTGTTGCAATGTATGCCATATATGCCACAACATGCAACAAGGCAGTATGTATATAAAATAATTTATGAATAATTCTTATTCCGTATGGAACTTGTAGAAACAGTTTCTGTCTTTGTTCAAGCATAAAAATACATTACATTTTTCACACTTGATATAAAACTTTGCCCCACAGGGATACTTGCACCTTTGCCTTTTAGTACTCCATATCGCAAGATGACCACACTGATCTGTTCTAATCTCGTGGATGGGATCTGACGTCGGACCCCATTTTCTCTTTTGTTGTATGTTATCCATAACTCCACTTGGACGTCCTCGTTTTCTACTAAAACTGGCTGCATCGACTTTACACAAACACTCTGCTACCGCCACTTTGAAATCTACCAGAGCTAAATTGTTGAGCTCATTGTAACTTCTTCTCCAAAGTGCATTGACAACCATATGAAACCACCGACATTTTTGTGTCATTAATTGTTTCGATTTTTTCCACTATCGCTCCACGGTCTCTCTTTTTCAGTTCACCCTCTTTTCGCATATCGCTGTTTGGCACTCGGTTTATTCAAACTGTTTCGAGTGGAAACTCTGATGTGAAGTAAATTTACAGTGGGACGTTCTTGAACTAGTTATCAAAGAACAGTTTGTAATTTTTATGTCTTGGAACTGTTTGTGTGAGCCAAAGAAGTACGTTTGTCATCACTCCCAAGGCAGGCAAACCACTGGGTAGAATGTTGATGTCCTGCGAAAATTTCATAATCGTACGAAAATCCGCTGACGCCCCTACGGACAAACGCTTTATATCCCTATTATGTTTTTGAGGATTATATTGTTTTATTGAAAAAAGCACTTTTGTAGGGATAATCTGATCGTCTATCGCCAAGTATTTTTCCTTCGGAACTATGATTAGTTGCTCCCTCATTTTACTTAGAAGTCGTCGTATTTTGAAGAGCTTGTCATGTCCTAGATTGCCAGCTACAATAGCCTCGTCATTATTAGCGAAATGCCAAAACCGTTTTATTTCCTCCCATCTATTACATGATACAACATTTGAGATCAAGCCATGATTGAGGTTCCAAAAGCTTCTTGCACTTGGCAATTGCACTACTGACATATAAATACATGTTCCTATGAACTGTTGTAACTGTTCCGTGAGATCCAAAGGTTTTTACGGTCTTGTTTGCACCGAGTATACTATACTTTGGTAAACTATATCCTGGACAATCTCTTTTGTAATGAAAAAGTTAAAAAATGCGTAAAGGAAGTCTACGTTTTTCAACTCAAGCGGCAGCCCAGCAGAACCAAGAAATTTTAGGTCTTCTCCAAATGTAACAAAATTTTCTTCCTTCCAAGCAAGCTGCAAAACTCATTACTTTTGGTTCTATTCATCTTTTTTTTGTTTTAGTTCGAGGAGAGATATATTATCATCTTCGCTCTCCAAACTGCTTTCTGAACCCGTTTCACAGATGACATCATCGCATCATCTAAATTACATTCGCCTTCGTAGTCAGACTTTGGAGCTAATATAACATTTGGTTCATTAT